TATATATATATATATATTCTTAACAGGGTTGAGCAGCTTGTCTTCAGGATAAAGAAAAGAATTTGTTCGATTTCTTCGACCTCAAACTCAATGACTTGCCTGCTAATATAAATCGTTGAATTACTTCAGATTTTTCAATCATGTCATTGAAAGACAAAAATCTCACAGTTAGGAGGACTTTAAAATCTAAATGATAGGTACAGTTACAGAGTTCCAGGCCAGCCTGGGCTATACACTGAGACTTTGTCTTAAAAAAATAAAAACAGCTGGGTGTGGTGGCTCAAGCCCTTAATCCCGGCGTTTGGGAGGCAGAAGCAGGTGCATCTCTGTGAGTTCAAGGCCACCCTGGTCTACATAGTGAGTCCCAGGCCAGCTAGTAGTACATAGTGAGGCCCTGTCTCAAAAAACCCCCAACCAACCACAGAATTGGATATGAGGGTGCATACCTTTGATTTCAGCATTGGAGAGGCAGATCCCTGAGCATTCTAGGCCAGCCTAAACTACACAGCAAGTTCCAGACCAACAAGGACTGTATAAAGGGACCCTGTTTCAAACAAACAAACAAAAAAGTAAAACAAAGCAAAAAAAAAAAAAAATCCCAGGGCAACTGAGAGGCTTAGTGGGTAAAGGATCATGCCATCAGGCTTCATGATTAGTTCAACCATGGTGGAGGGAGAGAACTGACTCCCAAAAGTTGTCCTCTGACCTCTTTATATTTGTGTGGCACATGTGCATATCTCTCACATGCACACAAATTAAATAAATGTAATTTTAAAAATTTTAAAAACCAAGAGTTTGGAAGGATAAGACTATACCACATGATAGTAACTACTTGTATGGGCCTGCATGCAATACCTTAGAATGTAAAATTTGAGACTGAGGATGTAGTTCTGTTGGCAAGTTTCTTGCCTAGTATGCATGAGGCCCTAGGTTCGATCCCCAGCACTGAAAAAAAAATACAAAATTTGAAGACTTATTCAGGTAACTTTATAAAAGATGCCAAAGAATGTTTATGATCATGGTAGATTATATCTTCAGGTTCTGGAGAAAGTTATGTCAATGTATATGCTGGGAAGGAGCTAATGGAGAAGAGGGGTCTTTAATGGAAAGATACGACATTAGGTGAGTGTCCAGTGCTTTATGGCTTTTACACTGATAGTAGGTCCCAGACAGAACCATGTGTAGTCCTAAAACTTGGAGGGAAATCTCAGTCTGTTTGATTGAAAATCAGAGAGAAAAAGAAAATCAGAGACAAAGCTTGGAATGATCATAACAATTGGAAAGTAAGAGGGGGGATAAAATAAAAGAAAGTAAGAGCCGGACATGTTGGCACATGCATTTAATTGCAGCGCTCAGGAAGCTGAGGCAGGCCTGGTCTACATAACAAGTGCCAGGCCAGCAGAGATTCATAGCAATACCTTGTCTCAAAAACAAGAAAACAGTCAGAGTCATCTGCAAAAACAGTAAGGGCTCTTAACCACTGAGCCATCTCTGTAGTTCCAGAGGCCACTTCTTGATAGAAGCAGTGGTCAAGTCACATCAATAAGAGATTTGGACACAGAAAATCATTTATCAATTTTTAGAAATAATCTGTATTTAGTATCAGAAACATATTTTTGGAAATATTACTGGAGGTGAGATGTGTTCCATCTAGCTAGAATTGATTTCTATTTGTAAAAAGGAAGATCTTCTTTGCACCCATCCATAGATCAAAAGATATGAAAGAGAAATCTCCAGTTTGTGCCTCTCGCAGCTTTTTGTCCATGAACTCCTTGGTTTGGGTTTCAGTACACAGCTTAGTTAAAAGTAGACAGCTTCCCTAAGATTCCTGTGAATGAATGAACAGAAAGTAAGGCAAGAGCAGGTTACTGAGAGCCAAGCTAGAAATACAGAGACATGTCTACACTATATACACAGAAACAGCATTCTCCCTGATCTGGCTAGTGTGTTCATCTGCCTTTATGATATGAAGCGCTCCTCTGATTTGATCAACTTTGAAAATCCAAATACTAAATGGGGTGTGGTGGTGCCTGCCTGTAATCCTGGCCCTCAGGAGGAGGATTGCTATAAGTTTGAGAATGACCTAGACTACAGAGTGAGGCCCTGTCTCAAAAACAAACACAAAAACAAAACCCCCACTCCAAGCCCAACTACCTCACAGGAGGGACAAACTCACATCTTAGTATGAATTAGTCTCTAGCATTAGGTTTTATAATACCTAGGAGACCCTGGGTTTTGAAAGAATTGCTGCAAAAGGCTGGATACCCATCTCTTTAGTTCCTCTTTCAAGGTATTTCATCTTTATCATTGGGCTCCATTTCCAGTTCTGTAATTTGAGAAACTCTTGTATGCATGCCCCAGGAGACATGAACAAGACTAGTTTAAGGAACAGAAATTAAACAAGAACAAAGTACTGGGAGCTAAAGATGTAGTTCAGTGGCACAGTACTTGCCTAGCAAGCACAAGGCCCTGTTGGATCCCCAGCACTGCAAAACAAAATAAAACAAAAACTCTGAGTATGCACTGTTTTCTTGGAGCTTTTAAAAATGAAAACTTGGGTCAGGCGTGGTGGCGCAAGCCTTTAATCCCAGCACTTGGGAGGCAGAGGCAGGCAGATCTCTGTGAGTTCAAGGCCAGCCTGGTCTACATAGTGAGTTCCAGGATAGCTGGGGCTACAGAGAGACCCTGTCTCAAAAAGAACCCCCCCCCAAAATCCATCGTGTCTATGTACCGTTTATAGCCACCATGTGGGTTCTGGAAATTGAACCCAGGTCCTCTGCAAAAGCAGTCAGTGCTCTTAACCGCTGAGCCATCTCTCGAGCCCCTTTATTATTTTTATTTAATGGTGTGTGAGTGTATTAATTGTATGTAGGTAGGTATACCTGTATCATTCAGTGCCAATAGAGGTCAGAAGAGGGAGTCAGAGCCCCTGGAACTGGAGTTGCAGATGATTGTTAGCAGCCATGTAGGTGTTGAGATTCAGACCCAGGTCCTCTACAAGAGTAACCAGTGTTTTTAACTGCTGAGCCATCTCTCTAGCCCCAAAATTAATAAAATATTTTAAAATTAAAAAAATGAAAGCATTCACAATTGTGAAATAATCACGTGACTTGTGTTCTTTACACCAGAAAGAACCCTACCATCAACAGAAGGCCTTGCAGAGGGCTCATAGGCCCGGCACTCATCAATGATCCCCCGAAGCAATGAGGGGCAGTCTTCGCCCACTGGCTCTTGCTTCTGGTCCTCAGCTACCAGCTCATAGATCTTCTTAGAATCACAGCCTGGCATGAAAGTGATAGGATGGAAGGCTTAACAATTTCATTCATATACTTTTCTCCGGATGTTGATAGTTAACATTACATCTTGGCACTTCAAATATGGAAAAAACAAGTTTCCAATGACTCTGCTGACCAACTCAGACAATTCCTATGATAAAATGCCTCATCTGCTTCTGACAGTGCTGTTGACCTTATCGATTAGCCACACCCAGAACTCAGGAAGGACTGTTAAGATAGCCTGTTTGCCAAGACAGTCTGTCTCGCTCGGGTAAAATAGGTCCAGAAAAAAGGGGGCTGTAAATTTCTCAAGAGTGCCCTGACTTGCATGTAGACTCCCACAACTGCATCCACTTCTTCATTCCCTAGCTCCTATATAATCTCTAACTTCCCCCCTCCATCCATGGGAAGGCTGCTGTCCCTTGCTGTGTTGAATAACAGCAGCAGATCTGTTGAAGGTCTGGCACTGGTCTATTTCCTGACTCTGTGCTCTTTCCTACTCTCTAAACCCTAACATCCTATACCAGGTAACAAAGTGGCTGGGGTGACACTGATGGAATTTCTGGTCTTTTGGAAGGGGACCCAATCCAACTCCAGCAGAGCCAGCCTTCAGGTTCTTTACCTTCAAATGGGATCTTCCCAGTGGCAATTTCCCAGAGGACTATTCCAAAGCTAAAAGAAAACCAAGGGTTGGTGAGATGGCTCAGAGGGTAAAAGCACTTGATGCACAAGCCTAACGGCCTGAATTGTATCCCCAGAAACCATGGAAGGAAAGGAATGTCTCCAGAGAGTTGTTCTCTGATCTCTACGTGTCCCCTGTAGGCTCCAAGTATTTGGACAATTGGTCTCCAGTTTGTGGTGCTATTTGGGGAGGGTTCTGAAACCTTTAGAAGGTATGACCAGGCTGGAGGAAGCATGTCACTGGGAGCGGACTTTGGGAGTGCAAAGCCATGCCCACTTCTGCCTGCTTGAAGATGTAAGCTCAGCTTTCTTCTTGAGGATGTGTAAGCTCAGCTTTCTGCTCCGGCCACCTCCTGCCATCATGCATACCCTGCCATTATGGGCTCTGCATTTGGAACCCTAAGCCAAATAAATCCTTCCTTCTCTAAGTGGCCTTGGTCTTAGTGTTTTATCATAGCAATAGAAAAGTAACAAATAGAGCATGTACATGCCACCCTTCCACACACATTACACATACATGTATTTCTTTTCTCATGCTCCTCTGTTTCCAGAAAACAGCGAATTTTCTGATTACCACTAAATTCAACAGAACTCTCTCTCTCTCTCTCTCTCTCTCTCTCTCTCTCTCTCTCTCTCGTGATAGGGATCAACTTAGCACTGTATTATACCCACATCCTGTTCAACATGATTAAAATGGTCCTCAGATTTTGGGATTTGCCTGGGACATTTCTGTCCTTCCTGTGTTAGAATCTGAACAAGAACATCAACATACCTGTATATTTCAGTTTTTATGTCATATTTTTGATAGACATTTTTCATTCTCTGGGGTGAGACGTATACTGTAGAACTGACTCTCTCTGCTTTACTCCCCTTAGCTTCCTGACTGATGGACGTCTGTGTTTTGCTCAACTCAAATCCTGCAAACTAGATAAATAGATAAATTAGAGTCAGGAAGAAACTGGAAGATCCTGGGTGCAGGAGTAGAGGGCAGAGTTGGGGTGGTCTTTTTCCTTGGGGGCTTGTTTCCAAAGGAGTCTTCCTTGGTTGAGATCGCTCATAGGTTCAATTTATCATTGTGTGCCAAACAAGACAAATGAAAGATCTCTTCTTTATAGAATGGGGGTGGTGGTAGGGAAATTATTTGAAACAATGGCTATAAGGCCACTGTATGGTTTGGTAAGTTGTAGCTGTTGCTGGTAACACTGTGTTAGACACAGGGCTTTCAGGGCAGAAAATTCAACTCCACTGAGTGAGGGTGGAGAGGGGTGCATGGTGCTGCCATATGGCTTTCTGTTTCTAAGAAGCAGATGGGGAAAGTTCTGTCTGACCTTGTAGGGTAGTCAGCCTGCTCCTGCAGGTTTCATGTGGAAAGTGTGAGTTATCTTTGCCAGCCCTGTATAGTCACACAGAATTCCCAAAGAGGCCACAGTACAGTAAAAGGGAGTATCTGTTCTTGCTCCCTGCACAGCTGACATTAGCATCATTGGTATGAAGAAGGCCACTAGTCCCAAAGTCAGTCAGGTACCCAAATTTAGGGGCGAGGTCAAGAAAAGGGTAAGACGCTTAGATGGCAGAAGGCACTTGAAAGATGGAAAAAGTTCTGTCTTTATAAGGCTGGAAAAAAGAGGGTCTGGAGAGATGGCTCAGCTCTTAAGAGCAATTTTTGCTCTTGTAGAGGACCTGGGTTCAGTTCCGAGCCCCACATGGTGGCTGACAGTGTTCCTAACTCCACTTTCAGTGAATCCAATGCCCTTTTCTCTGTGGGCATTACAAAACATGGGTGCGCTTACATACATACAGAAAAAACACTCAAACATACTAAATAAATAAGAAAATAAATACAATTTAAAAAGAAACGTCTGCCGGGGTGGTTGTACACGCCTTTAATCCCAGCACTTGGGAGGCAGAGGCAGGTGGATCTCTGTGAGTTCAAGGCCAGCCTGGTCTACATAGCGAGTTCCAGAACAGTTGAGGCTATAGAGAGACCCTGTATCAAGAAAAAGAAAAAGAAAAGAAAAGAAAAAGAAAAAGATCTATGGATGAAAAACAAAACATTATTTTAGAACTTGGGGATCGTGGTGCAAATGAAACAAGTTCTGGTAGATTTTCAGTTAACTTTTAGTGCTGTTCCCTGAAAACTGATTAAGGTAGACTGTCACCTAGGCTACTTAGTAACATAGTTGATGGTTTAAAAAAGATTGCTAATACACAAATTGCCTTTGACTGGGAGATGTTGATAGGTCAGAGGACCATAGGTAGCTGACAGGCATGCTGTGCTTTATAGCAACCATTATATATAGGAATTGGCTTGTCCCTTCCAGAGACTTTGGAAGGTGCATCTGTAGAGTTATTATAAAAGATACTGACTTTTTGTAGGTCATGGCCCTACCTACTGGGAACCTCTTTCTTTTTAAAAATATTTTATTATTTTTATTTTATGTGTATAAATGTATAGCCTGCATGGATGTAAGAGCACCTGTGCCGTGCAAAGCCCACAGAGGTCAGAAGGTGGCATTGGATTCCCCTGGAACTGGAGTTACAGATGGTTGCTAGCCACCATGTGGGTGGATTGAACTCAGGTCCTCTGCAAGAGCAGCCAGTGCTCTTACCTACTGAGCCATTTCTCCAGCCTGGAAAGCCTCTGTCTTTAGGAACTTGGTGGGAACAAAGACAGTATCTCCTGGATGAATGTGGGGGCTCTCACTGGAGAGAAGGGTTTAATGCTGCTAGCAAGCTCTGATTCCTGCGAGATCCTTGTAAATGACCCTGAATGACAAGTGTGGCCCATGAATGACAGTCCTACGAATCTGAATGCCTACTTGAATCTAAGCAGATACCCTGGTAACTGTTGTAGTGACACAGAAATGGTGACTAAATATCTAAAAGAAATGGCTCTTAGTCCATTCCTGCTCTGTAGGGGTGAAGAAAGGTAGGCATCAGAGTGGGAGGCAAAGGTAAAGTCTGTCCTGTGGTGGCATACAGAAAGCTGTATAAGCTAGGAAGAGTGGAGTTCAGGTCTAAAATTTAGGAGAGAAACAAGAAGACAAAATTTTATGAGATACTTATTACTCTCTCCTAGTATTCAGCCATCACAAAGGTTTGACCAATCCAAGGAGCCTTTGGAAGGTGTCCTCACCTTTACTTGGTAACCTCCAGCTACCAGGAAGCTGGAACTGCTGATGTTTCTGTGGAGTTGAGGTATTTCCGAATGGTGTAGCCTGATTACAACTAAAGGTAAGGTGTATTAATGACCTTGACATAGACAGTCTTTATTGGAATATGAAATTGGCAGATACCTTGCCTTCTTTGTGGGTGGCTATCTGTGGACAACCTGGAAAAATGGGATGCAGAGGCCAACCTTGGCAATATGTGCTGTGTGTATATAGCACAGCTGGGATGCATGACAGAGGCAGGTGTGACAGCCCTTAGGGGAGTGTATGAGATCTGTACCAGGGGTCAGTTTTGGTAGTGAAGAATGATAGTACTTTGCTATGAAGTGCTGGGCAGACCAAGGCACTCAGAGGCACAGCTGACTGGTTGTATCAGGCCTGGGACCCTTCTTCAAATGTGAAATTGGGGTTCTTACTGACTTTGGATGAGCAGAGCCTCTGCATCCCAGGCTAGATGTCTGACATAGTGTCAGCCTTAGGCCAGGTTCTCTCAGAAGCAAGTCATGGACCAAGGATTTGGGAACAAATGATTTATTAAGTAAGTCCTCCTAGAAGAAACAAGGGAGGGAGGGAGGGAAGGGGGGAGAGAGAGCGAGAGCAAGAGTAAGGGAGAGGGAGAGGGAGGGAGGGAGAGAGAGAGAGAGAGAGGGGGGGGGGGGGGAGGGGGGGAGAGAGAGCGAGAGGGAGGGAGAGGGAGAGAGAGAGAGAGAGAGAGAGAGAGAGAGAGAGAGAGAGAGAAGTAGGACACACAAGGAGAAGAAATCAGGTGAAGAAGTAAGATTTCAGGTGCAATCCCAGTTCAGCCTACCTCATGGGGACTGATGGATCATATTTACACCTCAGGCCTTGTCCCATAGGTGGTAAAAGAACTGGATAATCAGTAGCTGTGGACTGGGATGTCTGGGAATAAAACTCTGGGACCTTTCAATGATTTCCAAGGCTGAAGGGGCTCCAGTAGCCATGGAGTAGCCTTGAACTTTTAGCAACAAAGCATGCTGAGCAGAAGATAAGGCCATACAGTTGATAAAGGTGTGAAAGCATTTGGACAGGACACTAACAGCACCCCTAGAGCATCCAACGTTACCTCTATAAGCCCACAAGTTTCAGAAGTTGCGAAAAATAAATAGCTAAGATAGTATTTTCAAAGTTATGGCTATAGTGCTATGAAAGATTACACAGAGAATCCAGGCATAGTGGCACATACCTGTAATCCTAGCATTTGGGAGGCTAGGTGAGAGGGTCATAAGTTTCAGGGCATCCTGGGCTACATAGTGAGACTGGTTTAAAAAAAATGCAGAGAAAAATTCTCCTTTCAATTGATTCCAGTTTCTGATTATATCAAAGAATAAGGGCTGGAGAGATGGCTCAGCAGTTAAGAGCCCTGGCTGCTCTTGCAGACAGAGGACCTGGGTTTGATTCCCAGCACTCACATGGTGGCTAACAACCATTTGATTCACTAGCTAGCCTGATGACTGTTCCTTTACAAGGGACAACTGCAAACCTTCCTACAAACTGGTTTTCTCTCAGGGCCGGGCGTGGTGGCGCACACCTTTAATCCCAGCACTCAGGAGGCAGAGGCAGGTGGATCTCTGTGAGTTCAAGGCCAGCCTTGTCTACATAGTGAGTTCCAGGACAGCCGGGGCTCCAGAGAGACCCTGTCTCAAAAAAACCAAAAAAAAAAAAAAAAAAGCAGGGCATGGTGGAGAACTCGGGTCCTCATGCTTGTTTTACAAGCCCTTTACTGACTATCACAGGCAATAAAAACTGGGTAAAGAACAATGAGAAGTGGGTGCCTGACTCCCCTTCTCTAAGATAAAAGGATATGTTAGTTGGTTTTTAACTGTTGTCATTTATTACTTTAGACCTGTAGTTCTCAACACTCAGAGCACTTTAGAAATCTTTGCTTGATCCCAGCTCTAGAGAGAGGTTCCAATTAATTACTTGAAGGTGGGTGCTACATGTCATGTGCATTGTTTTTTAAGCACCAGTCCTTGTCCTCTATCCCTCTATTGTGCAGACTGGGTTGAGAAGCACTAGACTAACAGTTTTCCTGTTTAAAGGAAAGAACTAGTTTGAGCTGAAGCAATGCCTGTTAATTAGTTTTGTCCTTTTTTTCCCCCTTATTTTACTGTTACTGGCTATTGTGTTGCTATTTCTATTTTATTGTTAAAAAATAAAGTAGAGGGGCTGGAGAGATGGCTCAGTAGTTAAGAGCACTGACTGCTCTTGCAGAGGACCCGGGTTCGAGTCCCAGCACCCACATGGTGGCTACAAACTGTCCTTAACTCCAGTTCCAGGGGAATCCAAAGCCCTCTTCTGACCTCTGCGGCATTGCACGACATGGGTGCACTCACATACATGCAGGCAATACATTCATACACATAAAATAAAAATAATAAATAAAATATTAAAAAATAGAAAAAAATTGAGTTATATATCATTGTATTGCATCCAGAATGTTGGCTTAGTTGCTATATAATTTGTCCCTATTTTGTAAATGTTTTTGGTATTAAATCCCAAATTCAGAAAAGATGGTAAATGTCAATGAGAGGACAAACGAGACGTAATAAATAGTATCTACTTCAGAGTGACTACCAAAAAAAAAAAAGGAACAAAGTTAAAACACAGATCAGGTAACGGAAGACTTTTGCAAAATCTCAAACTGACAAGTGATTAGTTCCCATAATACATAGGGATCTTCCACAAACAGAAAAAAAATTAAAACAACCCAGAAATGCAACTGTGACAGACCAAAGGGCAGAAGATATGAAGAGGTAATAAGTTATAGAAGAGGGAAACCAACTGGCTATTGTGAATAGTGCAGCAGTCCAGGCATCTCTGTAGTAGGATGCAGAGTCCTTAGGTTATATGCCCAGGAGTGGTATAGCTCGGTCATATAGTTGTTCTGCTTTTAATTTTTTGAGGAATGTTGACCCACTCTCGGAAAGACAAAAATCACATGTTCTCTTTCATATGCAGATCCTAACTTTTAGTGTTTGTGTGTGTGTGTGAATACGGGGTTATGAGAGTGGGTGTAGACTATGAAACCAGACAGAGGCCACCAGAGAGGAGCAAGAGGTGTTAAAAAAAAGGGGGGAGGACAAAAGGTAAGCTGTGACATGAAAGTAGAAAGGAGGCTATTGGGCTATAGGGTACCGGGAGGGAGGGGGCATGGGGAAAAGGGAACAGTGAAAGCATACCGCATCTGAAAAACGCCAGAATGAAGCCCAACTCTTTGCAAGCAGATAAATTTTTAAAACTAAACCAAACATAGCAGTGCATACCCTTAATCCCAGCACTCAGGAGGCAGAGGCAGGTGAATCTCTGTGAATTCGAGGCCGACCTGGTTTACATAGCGAGTTCCAGGCTAGCCATGGCTACACAGTGAGACCCTGTTTCAACCCCCCAATTAAAAAAACCCAAATAGCTAAAATACATATAAATAAATATTCAAATTTGTTAGTAAATACGTTGCCAATCATGTATCACTTTATAAGGATGAAACAAATTTAGAAAGATGAATAACAACAAAGATTGGTAGAGATAAGAAATTTAGGTGTTCTCATGCACTAAAGGTGAGAGTATAGGTATATGCACTCCAGTCTAAGGGTTACCTAGTAGTATTTAGTCGATTTAATATGTGTGTACCCTATAACCCACCAGTTCCTCTCCTGGAATTATAGCCTGAAGAATTCTCATGCAGGTGTTGGGAGTGCAGCCCAGTGGCAGAGTGCTTGCATGCATGTGTGAGGTCCTGGGTTTGAACCCTAGCACCTTAAAATTGTCTATAGATTCATAAAGGGATACTTATGGTAGCATTATTTTTGTTGGGAAGAAGTTGGAAGCAGGTGGTTTCCATTATTGGAAAGAATAGACAAAATGTGGATTGATACCAAATGACTCATTGGACTCATTCCCAATGAAAAGATTCCATGCCCCATGATACTGAGTGAAGAAAACAAGAAAAATAACCGATATACATACCACATTATCATTTGTAAAGATTAAAAATGCATAACAAAAAGTAAAAGCATGTATTTTATAAGAAAATGTATGAATAAAACACTAGAATTACTGTCTGCATCAATTCCCAGCATCACACCAAAAAGGATTATTGTCTGTGTAGGGGATAAAAAACTGAGAAGCAGGATCAAAAGGGAATACATTTTAAAAAAATACGTAAATTCATGAGTAAAAGAGAGAAGGTTCTAGAATTGAGGTATAAAGAGCATTATTCAAGTCTAGCCTCTGTTTCTTAACAGCATAGGTCAAGTTATTTAACTTTTCGGGGCCTGATTTCCCCACTTAAAAATGGAGATGCTAGGTACACCTTTCTCATTGGGGAATTAATTAAGAATAATTCTTGATACATATGATAGAATCATATAAGACAACTTACCCAATGTTGGGGGCCTGGAGTTTGTTGAATACTTTTATGGTAACTGGAGACCTGTGATACTCTCCTCTATAAAGTGTGCTGAGTTCATTTTCCTTTAGAAAGATCCATGGAGATCCTGCAAGGTGTTCCTTCTTAATCTCCTTGATTTGATCCTGTGGGATCTCCTGCTTGGGTTTTAATAAGCCTGAGACAGAAGGAGAGAAAGAGTCAATGTGCTAAGGAAGGTATGGTAAGGGAGGCGGCCTCTCTGGTGTGTGAGGGAAGCTCACACACACCATGAATTGAAACTGGTCCTGGTTAGAGTTTCCAATGACTCAACTCAGGAGAGAAGTTCCTTTGCTTCTGAGTGACCCATAGAGACGGCGCTAAAGGGTTAGCAGAATGTTTCACACACTTCCTTGTCTTCCTCTTCCATTTTTTTCCCTTCCAGTGCCAGGGATCGAACCAAGGATTTTGTGTGTTCTAGGCAAGTGCTCTACCATTGAACTTTGCTTCCTTTTCCAATCTTGCCTGTCTTTCCAGCTTTAATGCCAGCATCTCTTATCTCAGAGTTCTCTCTACTCCTGTTTCCCCACAGCTTGGAAATGTGTGCCTAGCATCATGTTGAGTCATTTCAGATCTGTGTTGTGTGGCTGCTTCCTCCTGGATTAAAACATTCCATCCTCAGAAGCTCATGAAACTCACAAGAAACCTGTAAGACTGAGGAAACTCAGGAAACTTAGAAGAGTCACAGAGACCCTGCCACAGTAAACAACCTCTGGGTGAGTAGAGACTCTTCAGTAGTGTAACTGCCTGCAAATTGTACAGGAGATCAGTGATACAGCTTTAAGTTCTAGCTCATGCTAGTGGTGGTGGTCGTGGGGCTTTTTGGTGATGCTAAGTGCCCAAGAATCACCTATACCCCTGCAAATGACTCCCTGCCCTTACTCCTGTAAGTAACCCTAATAAATTAACTCATTGGTTCACCAAGATGGACTTGGATAGAATGATTTCTTTGGTCTCTCTCCTCTCTTTAGGTAACAGAAATAGACTCACCAGGAAAGCTATGGAGATAACTCAGTAGAGTACTTGCCATGTATGAGAATCTGAGTTTGATTTCCTAGAATCCATGTAAAAAGCTGGGTGTGGTGGTACACATTTGCAATCCCAGCATTGGGGAAATGGAAACAGGTGAATTCCTGGGGCTCATTGGCCAGATAACCTCATGTAATTGGTGAGCCCCAGATCCCAATGAGAGACTCTGTCTCAAAAAAACAAGTGGATGGCCCCTGAGGAGACTGATCTCTGGCCTCCACATGCATGTGCACATATACACCTGCACATGAACAAACACACATCCCCCACAAAACAAATAGATTCACCAGGAAATGCCACACAACCTGTTTCTACTGTCTTTCTATCCTCTTCTCGCCTTCACCCCTAAGGCATGTGCTCCCTCCCTCCAGGCAGTGCTCTTTCCTGACCCTCAGCTCTCTCACAGCCTCTGGCATAAAGAAAATTTTATAGTTTTTTAAAATTAATGAGGGAGTGAATGAATGAGCACTTTAAATTTTGTTTGGATTTCTTTTAGGTGTGAGTGCTTGTGTATGTAGTGTGATTATGTGTGCATGTGAGTAGACATGCTTATGCATGTGCATGTGGAGGTTAGAGGTCAACATTAAGTCTTCCTCTATTGGTCTCTACCTTATTTTTTGGAGGAATAATAGCTTTAAATGGCCTGGAACCCACTCACTATGTAGACCTGGCTGGCCTTGAACTCACAGAGCTCCACCTGCCTCTGCCTCCTGAGTGCTGGGATTAAAGGCATGCGCCACCACACCCGGCCATAATATATTATTTTTATTTTATGTGTATGAGTATATTGCCTGCCTATATGTAAGTGCACCCACGGAGGTCGGAAGAGGGCATCAGATACCCTGGAACTGGAGTTACAGATGGTGCTGGGAAGCAAACCCAGTTCCTCTGCAAGAGCAGTTCATGCTCTTAACCACTGGGCCATCTCTCCAGCCCCAGGAATAACTTCTTTATTAAAAAGTCACTAAATAAGGTTTCCATCTGCATGAGAAAACTCAGATTCAAATATTTAATTGTAGTCCTATCAGCAAAGAGTAAATCTTTCTAGTGTCTTAATTTTTTAATTGAACTTTTGCAAATTTCAAACAATATATTTTGATGATATCTTAAAAATATGGAATGCAGGCCTGGCATGGTGGTGCATGGCGCATGCCTTCAATCCCAGCACTCAGGAGGCAGAGAAGGAAGACGGATCTCTGTGAGTTCAAGGCCAGTCTGGTCTGGTCTACACAGTGAGTTCCAGGCCAACTTGGGCTACAGGGAAATCCTGTATATATATATATATATATATACACATATATATACACATATATGTGTGTGTGTATGTATATATGTATATATGGAATGCTTCATGAATTTGCATGTTATTCTAGTGCAGGAGCCATGTTAATCTTCTCTGTACTGTTCCAGTTTTAATATGTGTACTGCTGAAGCGAGCATTCCTCCTTATTTTTTGAGACAAGGTCTCTCACTGAATCTGAAGCTTACTGACTGGCTAGCCTGGCTGGCCAGTGGGCCCCAGGGATCTTCCTGTCTCTACCTTTCAGTATTGTGTTTATAGGTGGTGCCACCATGCCTGGCTTTTTACATGAGTGCTAGGGATCTGAACTCAGGTCCTTATGAATGTGTAGCAAGCACTTTACCCATTGAGCCATCTCCGTAGCCCCTGATTTGAATTTCTTATGGACATTCAGCAAGTGAATCGAAGCTTTGATGCTGTTGTAGTTTGAACACTAAATATTCCCCAAAGGCCCCGTGTGTTCAAGGCTTGGTCCTCAGGGTGGTGCTATTGGGAGGTGGTGGAGACTTAAGAGATGGGGCCAAATTGGAGGGGAGGTCCTAAGGTATTTGGGGCATGCTTCCAAAGGGAATTGTGTTATCTCAGACCCTAATTCTTTATCTCTTTTTTCTCTTTCAGTTCATCAGGTGAGTGTTTTTGCTTTTACTACTAACTTCTACCTGATATGTTGCCTTGCAATGGACTCAAAACAATGGGGCTACTCAGTTATGAATGGAATCCTTCCAAACTCTGAGCATAAGTAAAAGCTCTCTTTCTAAGCTGCTATCTTAGGTATTTGTTCCTGTAACAGAAAGTTGACTGACATACATACTATTCAAAGAGAAAGGGTTTTTTTTTTTTTTCTTTGCTTTTTGTTTTAGCATTCTGACAAGTGCTAGGGATTTCTTGCTGGCCAAGAGGCCACCTTCAATAGCCACTCCATGAACAGATGTCTGGGTTAGCTGTGACCACATCCCAAAACCTGTGAGCTTCTTTCAGTCCTATCCAGTAAAGAAAATTGAGAAGGCGGGGAGAGAGCAGGCTGGAGCTCCTAGCAAACGGATGACTTCTAGTTTGGGAGCATTAGTTGCAACAGGGCATTTGACAACTTACACTGATTCAATGTATCCTGGATTTCTTTAACACTGATTTTCAACCCCATCAAGAGGGCATGCATATGTTCATATCTGCAGGAAAAAGGGCAATGAATGTTTAAAAATACAAGTGCTAAATTAAAATCACATGCTAAGCTGGGCGTGGTGATGCACGCCTTTGATCCCAGCACTCAGGAGGCAGAGGCAGGCAGATTTCTGTGACTTCGAGGCCAGCCTGGTCCACACAGTGCCTTCCAGGCCAGCTGGGGCTACAGAGAGACCCTGTCTCAAAAAGACCAAAAAAAAAAATCACATACTAATCAAAACCAAAATGCTAATTAAAACCATAAAGAAACAGTCTATCATAGTCATTATGGCAGGAAATATTACTGCTCATCAATATCTGTTTTTCCACTTTGAGGCACAAAGGAAATGCCTTTGAAGTCTGACTGTGGGAATTGCTTTGGCCAAGAAGCGAAAGAGATGTGGATCACTTCCCATTTGTGGTTTGAATCTAGAATGTTCTCCATAGGTTTATATTTTGAGCACTTGGTCTCCATCTTGTGGCACTATTTTGAAGGCTGTGGAGCCTTGAGGAGGTGGGGCCTGGTTGGCAGCAGTAGGTCACTGGGGATGGGCCTTTGAAGGTTATACCCACTTGTGATTCTGGCCTGCTTTTTCTACTTTCTGGTTTGCCATGATGTGAGGCGCCTCTGCCACACACTCCACCTGCTTTTGTCAGGTGGTTTATCACAGTGGTGGAAAATTAATGCTTTGGCGAAGCATTTCATTGACTCTGTACATGGTTCCAATCTGGCTGCTTTGGGAGTGAGAAACTTGTATCAACATGGAAGTACCATACTACTGAAAGTAACTCCAGAGGAGGACAGTCACCTTGGAGGGTCTCATGCACTTTGCTTGAATGAGAAATAGACTTACTTCTGTAAGACACTCAATTGCTAGTACTTCATAAAAAATCTACATCATGGGGGCTGGAGATGACTCAGCAGTTAAAAGCACTGGCTGCTCTTGCAGAGAACCTGGGTTTGGTTCCCAGCACCCACATGGTGGCTAATAACCATCTGTAACTCCAGTTCCAGGGGATCTGATGTCCTCTTCTGACCTCTGGGGGCATTGCATAACACAGGTGCACTTACAGACATGCAGGCAATACACTCATAAAATAAAATAGTTTAAAAATTTTATATCACAATCAAATCTATCCTAATGTATAAACTCTCACCATCTGAGTCGGCCTAGGACTGGGGGGGTTCTGGAGACATAGGGTCTTTAGTACTAATATCAGGAAAGTCTCTAATGGAAAAAGTGATCAAAAGACAACCTCATCCATACTGATATGAGTGACAGTTGTAAAACCTCTGTAGAGGGCAATCTAGAAATTTCAATCAAAATTAAAAATGTTCATCGTCTTGGATCTAGCAATGAGACCTAGTAATTCTACTATTAGGAATATCTCCTAAAGTTATTCTGAAATATACACAAGATGTCCATTATGAAACCATTTATAACAGTGAACAACTAGATATGACTTACATGTCCACTAATATATCAGACCCATGAACACCAAGGAGTATAAGAGAGCTCTGTGGATATCTTTTTGGAATAATATTCAAGATTATTTAATGAAAAGGAAGAGTCAGGATACATATACTTAAATCTTCAGAGGGTTAGTCATAAGTAGATTGTGAAAGTGTGTCCAGGAAAGAAAAAGAGGGCCCTTGAGGTCAAGGATGGGGGGAGGGACTTAGTTCTTATGCTAGGCTTTTAAAAGATTGTTTCAGTTTTATACTGTGTGAATGCATTTCCCATACAGAAATGTAAAGGGCAGAACAGGAAGTAAGTTTTGTCCTCCATGTTTCTGGTTTGCACAGGTCTCCTGCCTCCATGAAGAGGTGGATCAGCATTTGCTGATGACTAGAAAGGCAGGCAGTCAATTCTGCCCTCTAGCTGGATCAGCTCATCTGTAACATCCCAACCTGCCCAGCACCCCAGTCCCTGAGTCTCTTTCTCCTTGATGATAGGTTTTGCTTGGATTACAGATGCTTTGTTTTCTTTTACTTCAGAAAAGGACCCATTTTGCCCCAAAGTCTCCTTGTTCATCCTGCTTAGATGTCTCCTGCTGACTTGACCGGTAATGGATCGCCACCTCCACATCAAGGCAGCAGAATGGTCACTCCTCTGGCTTGAGCATCTAGGTTTATCCATGTGTCCTCTTATTTCTCAATCAACAATCTAACTGTTGAGTTGTAGACTCTCTAGATGCTTTCTTTGTCAAAGAAATCAGGCCACACTCCTCCGTATCTTTCTCCAGACACAGAGTTAATAAGCTGCAGGATAAGTCTTTGGTCTTACCTAGTGCTTGCCTAGGTGCCCCTTGGCCCATAGGCCAGGCCAGGCTAAGTCACATGACATGGAAACCTATGAGAGAAACCTCCTTTGTTTTCTGCAATTGAAGGCTGTCTCTCCCTTCAAGACCTTGTTGTTCCGTCTACTGCAATGCCCTAATTTTCTTAATGCTTTCCCACTTCAAGGCCTCATCATGGCTGCCTATGGCAGTGAGTCTGTAACTCTCCTAATAAAGCCCTTCTGGGTGGTAATCTCCTGTCAGCTTCCTTTTCTACAAACCTCTTTTATCTGACACAAAAGGGAAACATTTGAGATTCATATTGCTGGTTCTTCACAAACTTAAGTTCACATTTGTTTTCATGTTCCCCTTGTTTTCCCTTTCCTGATGACCCAGGCTCAACTCTTCTCCCTCACCTCCAATCTAGCCCAGGCATCACCTCTTTAGAGCCTGGACTTCCATTAGCCCAACAGGGTTGTCCTAGTTCAAACTACTGTTATATGTTCTCTAGTCTCTAAAGAGGTCTCCTAACTCAATTCCATTTTTTTTGTCCTCTTGAGACAGGGTCTCCCTGTAGCCCCAGCTATCCTGGAACTTTCTATGTAGACCAGGCTGGCCTCAAACTCACAAAAATTCACCTGCCTCTGCCTCCCAAGTGCTGGGACTAAAGGTGTGTGCACCACCACACCCGTCCAAGATCGAATTATAGCTCCCAATTATTCACTTCTATGTAGCAGTCACATACATTCCCATTCTCATTGAAGGAAATTGGCACAACGTGGGACTGCTGACCACAGAGCATCTGGTCCCCCAATTCCTACCCTAAGAGCATCCAGTTCTATATCGGGAACAAAATCCTGGCAGGCAGAAACAAACTTCCCCTGGTAGCTGTCTCCAAACGATCCCCTGCAGCTGCTGCCAAACTTCCCTTTGCAGCTGCCTTCCTAGAGTCTCTATAAAACCCTAAGCCTCCCTTCACTCTGTGCATAGCCTCCATTCCTTGGGAAGGTTGCTGCCCCTTGCTGTGCTAATAAAGCACAGTCTCATCTGTTAAGGCCAGACTTGATCTCGTTCCTTCTCCTTTGTTCCTGAACTCTGTGCTCCAAAAGCTAACACTCGCCATAACATCATAGAAGGCAAACTGTGTCTCTATGTTGAGCTTTACTACAAGGCTTGCTTTAGTGGATATGACACAAGTAGAGGCTTGAAAAACACTAGTCCAGTTAGGGCTTCCTTCTTCCAATTCTACCATAAGAAGAACAGTCTCCAAATACTCACTGCTTCTCCTGCCTGGGCTCCAGAATGAAATGCATAGAACAGCTTCAAACTGGATCTGGTCCCTTGGCACATAGGCTAGTCCAGGCTGGGACATATGGTATGGAATGCCTACCCTCCCTGAAAACCTGTGAGAGTCAAAACCTCCTTTGTCCTCCAAAACTGAAGACTGTCTCTCCCTTCATCACCCCATTGCACAGTGCTGTCTATACTGCAATGCCCTAACTTTCTTCGACTTCAAGGTCTGGCTGCCTAGGGCAGTGAGCTCTTTTATAGTTATTTCCTCCAAAATGAGCCATTCCCTTCTGGAGGAAGGATGTGGAGGCTTATAAGACTCAGGAAGCTAGTGAAATTTACCAAGTTCAAAAAGTTGCAAAGGGTCACTCTATCACTTCCTAAGTTTATAAAAGCAGCAAACAATTATGAAGAGAGACTGGCTGGCTGGCTGAGGTGCTTGTAAGTCTGGCAGGGAGATTCAGGGATGCAGCTTTTATGAGCCACCACTCAAGCTTGAGTGGGCTTTTCAGTGATACAGCTGATCCTGATAGACTCACTGGTTCACTAAGCTAGACTTGAGTGGAATCCTTCCTTTGGTTTGTCATCCATCTGTGTCCTATTTGGGATGAGTAGATATTTGTTCACATCTCACCAGGAAATGTCCTAGACACTGGCACAAAGCCCATCTGAGATCCGAACTCCAGTGGCTCTGCAGACCCATGAGTATAGGAGTGCACAATGATTGTTTGAAGCCTCTGAGCTTCGGGGTGGTCTGTTATGAAGCAGAAACTGACCATAGTATTCTCTGTAAGGCATTTCTTATCCATTTGATATATGACAGCCAGAGTGATTTTTTTTATACTACAAATAAATCAAGAGTGGCCCACATGGAAGGATCTCTATTCACTGGCTCCTTGTAACTCTTGGAGAAATATCTGAATTTCTAGCCATGTCTATATGGCCTTGTAGGTCCTGGCTATCTTCTGGTCTACTTTCACACTTTTCTCTCTCTCCCTTGTCTGCTGCATCGAAGACATGTGGACTTCTGGCTGTTCTTTGCATATACAACATTTATCCCCACCTAAGGATCTTCACATTTGCTCCTTTCTTTGCCCACATTGTTCTTCCCCTTCACCTATGCATGGCTGACTAGCTCCTTCCCCTTAGTCAAGGTGCCCATTCAAATGGCACCCTGACTGCCCTTTCTGAACCATTTCATTACTTTATGGCTTTCACTGCCTATAGCTACAATTAGCTATTTATCAGCAGACTTCACATTCCATGAGGCAGAGATTTTGTCTATTTTGTTCTGTGCTGTATTCCTAAGTTTTGAACAGTGCTGGGCATGCTGAACCCAAACCATCTTTGCTTAGTTTGCATTATTTAATTCTTTTTTTTTTGGTGTTTGTGAGACAGGGTCTCCCTGTGATGGGGACTGGCCTGGAACTCACTATGTAGACCAGGCTGGCCTTGAACTCACGAGATTTGCCTGCTTCTGCCTCCCAAGTGCTGGGACTACAGGCATGTGCCACCATGCCCAGCTTATTTAATTCTTTATACTGGACAATTAAAAAATATTTTATTTATTATTTTCATTTTATGTATGTGAGTGTATTCCCTGCATGTAAGTGCATCCATGTCATGCAATGCAGAGGTCAGAAGGGGGTATCGGATTCTCCAGGAACTGGAGTTATGGATGGTTATTAACCTCCATGTGGGTGCTGGGAATCAAACCTGGGTCCTCTGCAAGAGTAGCCAGTGCTCTTAACTGCTGAGCCATCTCTCCAGGCCCCCAGTTTTTTTTGTTTTTTTTTTTTTGAGACAGTCTCATTATGTATCCCTTGCTGGCCTAGAATTGGCTATGTAGATCAGGCTGGCCTAGAACTCACAGAGAGCTGCTTGCCTCTCTACCTAGGGTGCTGGGTTCAAGGTGTGAGCCACCACACCCAGCCTGAATTTTTATTTTAACGAGAGTCCTCTAGAAGCTAAGGCTGGAGACATGAACTGGAATTCCAGGTATTCCAGAGAATTTGCTGATGTAAAGGAGACTGACTGGCCTGGTGTCCCCTCCTCCATATCAGCTTGCCCAAATTTCACAGCCTCCTCCCTAACAGTAGGATTTTTGAGTCACAAGTATATACAGCCACTCAAACTCCCTCACCATGCTCTCCTTTGGCAAATCAAGGTGAGACTAAGATGTCCTCTAATTGTACCCCTTCCAACCCAACCCCCCAAACCCAGCTTATCAGCCTTTGAAAGACTCACTGATCTTCCTCTGCATCCTGCTGGTCTTCCTGCGGCCACACTGCTCCTTGGCTGATGTTTGAAACAAGCATCCGCTGATCAATCTGAAGCAGCAGCAAGAGCTCCTCCTAGACATCCCTCAGCCTCCCGTTCACTTCCCGGAAGGCTACCTTGTCATTGCCCGCAGTTATAAACTTCCAGATGCTGGATTTATTGTTGAACTTTTCTATCTGCCTCTTAGCTTCCTTCAAGACAGCCTCAAAATGGTCCAGGGAAGCCATTACATCAGCAGACAGGTTCTTTCCTTGGTCCTGGAGCCCCTGCAGGGGCTGCAGCAGGCCGTGCACGCGTTTCCCTAGACGCTGGCATTGTCGTCGGCAGTATCTCATTTCTTCACACTGTGTGTAGATAAGCTGGCCCAAGGAGATGATCTGTCCCAATTTGTCCATTGCTAGAAGAAACACACAGAATTGGTTGAAGTCCCACAATTCCCCGATATCTACTACTCAGCTAAGGCAGGGTCAAGGATGTCTATGATTTCAACTCCAAAAGGGGTCTCTCATCATTTTCAGTAAGCTGGAGATGGCTTGCTGCCTGCCAAATCTGTTCTATCTGACCGTTTTTTTTTCTTTTATATGTATGTGTATATTGTCTGCACATAGGTAAGTACACCCATGTTGTGCAATGTCCACGGAAGACAGAAGAGGCTGTCAGATCTCCTGGAACTGAAGTCACTTACAGTTGTTAGCTGCCATTTGGGTGCTGGGATTTGAACACACACAGGTCTTCTGCGAGAACAGCCGGTGTTCTTAACCTCTGAGCCATCTCTCCAGCTCCCTGTTCTGACCTTTTAACAGAGCTTGAGATGGGCAGTATTGGTCCAGCAAGGACTATATCCCAGCCTTCCTTGCAACTCCATCTGGCCACATGATGGCTTCTACCTGTGGGTTGCTAGTGGATGAGACATGTGCTACTTTGGGCTGAGACAGGTTTGCTTCCGCCAAACAAGAGCTCTCCCTCTGCTGGATGCACGGAAGGACATGGCCTACAGGTTCTGGTGGAGGAAAGCTGCCATGTTGTCAAAAAGCTTCTGTTGCCTGACAGCCATTATATTTTGGGGGTCTGTTATTATATCAGGGGTCAGTTTAGTCTGTCCTAACACATACATTCTGTTGAAGTATTGGACTTACCTTCAGGGACCAAGCAGGCAACTCAAACCACTGGAGTAAGATGAAGTAGGAGTACTTTAAAAAAAAAAAAACCAAAAAACTGCCAGGCGTGGTGGTGCAGGCCTTAAATCCCAGCACTTGGGAGGCAGAGGCAGGCGGATCTCTGTGAATTCAAGGACAGCCTGGCCTATATAGTGAGTTTCAGGACAGCTGGGGCCATAGGGAGACCCTGTCTCAAAAAGACCAAAACAAAACAAAACAAAAAACAACCAAAAACCCAACCAAACAAAAAACCACTTTATTTATTAATTATTTTTTTATTATTTTTATTTTATGTGTATGGATATATTGCCTGCATGTCTATAAGTGCACCCATGCTGTTCATTGCCCGTGGAGGTCAGAAGAGGGCATCAGATCCCCTGGAACTGGAGTTACAGATGGTTGTTAGCTACCATGTGGGTGCTGGGAACTGAATCCAGGTTCTCTGTAAGAACAGCCCCAGGAATACTCTTTATTACTACAAAGATGCGTCCAGTCAGGTGTGTTGACGAATGCCTTTAATCCCAGCACTTGGAAGGCAGAGGCAGAGGCAGGCAGCTCTCTGTTAGATCAGTGCCAGCCTGGTCTACATAGTGAGTTCCAGGCCAGCTATAACTGAAAAAAAAGGGTTGGAGAGATGGCTCAGTAGTTAAGAGCACTGGTTGTTGCAGAAGACTGGGATGTTATTCCCAGCCCCCACATGGTGGCTAACTGTAACTTCAGTTCTGAGGGAATCTGAAGTCTGCACATGACATGGGTACACTTACACACATGCAGGCAATACACTCATACCCATAAAATAAAGATAATAAAATTTTAAAAAAAGAAGAAGAAAGATGCTTCCAGATGGATGCAGTGGTAATCCTAGCACTCAGGATGCTGAGGTAGAAAGATCATGAGTTCAAGATCAGCCTGTATTACATCATAAGGGTTTGTCTCAAAAAAAAAAAATAAGTCAAAGACAATGTATATAACTCAGTGGTAGAATGTTTGCCTAGCATTGTTTAAAACCCCAAGTCTGATCCTCAGCACAGCAACAACAACAACAAACAAAAAAAGCTTCCTTCTAGTTTTCATGAAATACGTGGATTTCAGTGATGTTTTGACAGGCTCTTGCTCTGTAACCCAGGGTGGCCTTGAATTCTCTATTCTATAATTTTGTTTCAGCTTCTCTTATGAATGTGAGCAGAAAAACCATAAGGCCCTTACCCTAAGGCTTGGAATGAGATTTACCTAAGAATGGTAGAAAAAGAAGGGAAGACTCTGAATTGATGACAACATTGAGTCACTGGTTTAAACCAGTTCTGAAGTCTATACCACTCCCAACCTACAGGTTTCATGAACCAATAACCTTCCTTCTAGTTTGAATTAGGTTTGCTCTACTTACAACCAAGGGCAACTGGATTCAGTAATGGATTCTGACTATGGCAATAAACCTCTTCACCTACAACATGCTAAGGGACTTGGAATCACAGTTCTTCATCACTTTCATTTAACAGCTGAGACGCTGCGAGATTCAGGGATATTGCACTCAAATGAGTTCAAAGTCATGAAAACAGTCTCAAAAGCACTTTAAGACATAGCTAATCTCAATAGCTCAGGGAAATAGGTAGGTTAAGTATTATTTGTATTTATAAATCAGATAACAGCATAGAGATAAGAACACAAATTTGGCCTGGAACCCAAAACTGTCTTTTAAGACATGAGTCAAAAAATGAAACCAAACTGCCAAAACTGAAACTAAGTAAGTAAGCAACTGACAAATTTGTGTGTGTGTGTGTGTGTGTGTGTGTGTGTGTGTGTTTCTCCTTGCGGTTACACTGATTGGGGCAGGAGGTATAGGTATTAATATAGGGTACTCTGAAAATAAAGTCAATAGACCTCAAGTGACCCAGATGCTGAGCACATATCTTCAAGGTTATTTCTCATATGCATGAGAGCAAAGGTCTTTTTGTCTTCCTGTTCCACTGGAAATAGGGGAAAATATGAAAGTGTTGCTCAGAAACTTGGACTTCCACTTCCTAGCTTCCAAGTTCCAGTCATCTCATTTCTGAGCCTCATCAAAAAGCCATATTTCGGGGCTGGAGAGATGGCTCAGCAGTTAAGAGCACTGGCTGCTCTTGCAGAGGACCTGGGTTCAGTTTCCAGCACTCACATGGCAGTTAACAACCATTCATAACTCCAGTTACAGGGCTCCAACTCCCTCTTCTGACCTCTGTGGACATTGCATGATACAGGTGCACATACATATATGCAGGCAATACACTCATACACATAAAATAAAAATAATAAAATATTTTTAAAAAGTCATATTTTACTATGTTTGGTGGCACAGATCTTTAATTCCAGCACTCAGGAGGCAGAGGCAGGCAGATCTCTGTGAGATTAAGGCCAGTCTGGTTTACATAGTGAGTTCCAGGTTTGCTAGGGCTACAGGGAGTTGCTGTCTCAAAAACAAAACAAAACAAAACAAAACACAACAACCTGCCTCCCCAAAACAAACACCATATTTCAGGAATAACTAACCAGAGAGAATGGGAAAATATCCCATTCGAAGAAGTGACAACCAATTTAAAAATAGTTTTATAGACTTGTATGTGACATAAAACAAAGCTTGCAGAAGGAGGGAATAGTGCATAATATATTTCTGTGTAGAAAATAGATAAACCTGGGGCTGGAGAGATGGCTCAGAGGTTAGGAGCACTGTTCTTGCAGAGGACCCAGGTTTGAATCCCAGCACCCACATGGCAGCTGCCTAAAACTCCAGTTCCAGGGAATTTGATGGCCTCTTTTGTCCTCTGCAGGCACTGCATGACACGGGTGCACTTACAATGTGCAGGCAATACATGCATACACATAAAATAAAAACAATAAATAAAATATTGAAAAAAAAGTAAATAGACAAACCTGACAACCCTTTCCAGATATAAACTTCAGGCAGTGACACTAAAACTTGCAGTGGTATATTTGGGTTTGGAACCAAAGGATTCTAAAGTTCATTTGAACGGAAAATCAGCAGGGATACCCAAAAAAACAAGTTAGGGGATTTACCTATAAAATGTTAAAATATATTTAAAAACTGGCTGGGATGTGGCTCAGAGACAGAGGGTTTAGGATATGCAAGGCTCTGGGTTCAATCCACAAACACACACACACACACACACACACACACACACACACACACACACACACAGAGGAGGAGAGAGAGTTTAAAACTGCAGGGACTATGCCAGGCTTGGTGGCCCACACCTTTAGCCCCAGTACTTGGAAGACAGAGTCAGGTGGATCTCAGCGAGTTCAAGGCCAGCCTGGTCTACATAGTGTACATAGTGAATTCTAGGACAGCTGGGGCTCCAGGGAGACCCTGTCTCAAAAAGACCAAAAAAAAAAAAAAAAAAAAAAACCCAAAAAACTGCAATGACTAAAATTGTTCAGATTTTGTAAGTACATGAGAAGGGTAGCAAATAGATGAAAGGGAAGATAAACACATTCATACTTTGACTCAACAGCATGACTTTCTAGAAACTTGTGGAAAAGGTTGTATGTCTGTAGAAAGACCCTAGGAAGTTCACTGCAGTGCTATTTGTAAATGTAAATTTCATTGTAGTAAAATAATGGGGGAAATATCAGGGTTTTTATTTTTGTTTTTACTTCTTGAGACAGAGTCTCATGAAATCCAGGCTGGCCTCAACCCACTAGAAGTGAGGATGACCTTGAACTCTTGAACTGTTGTTCTTTGTACCTATACTATCCCAGTGCTAGGATTATAGGCAGGTACCACCACACCAGGCTAAAAAACACTAACTTTAAAAGTGAAAAACCTGGGGATATAGCTCAGTTGATAGAGTGCTTGCCTTGCATAAAGTCCTGCTTTTGAGCCCAAGTGGTGACCTTGCCTGTAATCTCAGCAACTTGGGAGGTGGAAGCAGGAGGGTCAGAATTTCAAGATCATCTTCAGCTACCTGTTATGGAAGTGGGAGGGTAGCCTAGGATACATGAGACACTAAAAAGCAAACAATCTGACAAAGTAAAATATCTTAAACTGGTGATAAAGGTATTAATTCACTTCATCATCCCCTAAAAAGAATCAGATCCTTTTTTTTTTTTTTTTTTTTTTTTTTTTGAGACAGGGTCTCCCTGTAGGCCTAGCTGTCCTGGAACTCACTATGTAGACCAGGCTGGCCTTGAACTAACAGAGATCCACCTGCCTCTGCCTCCCAAGTGCTGGGACTACAGGCGTGCGCCACCACACCCAGCCGGATCCATTTTTTTAAAAAATTACATCATATTACTTTACCCTTGAATGAAATGGTCCCCAATAAAGGAAGTGAGTATTCATCCTTAGGAATTGGAATTATCTATCCTGGATCTTGACCACCCACTCTGTCTAAGGCTTGGGCACCTGAGTCGGGTCCCAACCTCTGCCCCTTGGCACTCACCATCCCATTGTGTCCTGCTTTGGCCAAGGTCCAAGCAGACCCAGCAATCAGCTTCCCCAACAGAAAGGAGGAATCGAAACTAATTCGCTCCGGAGTTCTAGGAAATCCAATCTATGGGTCAGAAGCTTCCTCCAGACGGGGCTTTCTGATCACCACCAGGATCCGCGAGCCCAGACCACCCCAGGCCTACCCTCCTCACCGCAGGAACGTGTGTTGTGCTTGTCCCAGTTCCAAGAGATGCTTCCCCCAGCTCTACCACCGCCTTCCAGCAGTGATCGCACCCCAGGTTGAGCAGGGCCGGGTCTTCTGCGCCCCTTCCCTTGCGGGCCGTGCTCTGCAATCCTGCAGACCCCACCGGACTCCACCCATGCCATCCTGTTCCCGCCTGAAGTCAAACCTCGTCGATGTCCCAGCAGAGTCCTCCCAACCTGCAGATCTGACAGCAGCTTCTGACCTGAGTCCTCCGGAAGTCGCTGCTGGGGAGGCTGGACACGCCTCCTATGCAGCTCCTGCTGGCCCTGGCTCCCTACACCGCTTTCTAGGTAGCTCAGAGTTGAAGCCCATTCCCTCTGGCTTGCCTCCTCCTGCTTTTTTTTGAACCTCCGAGGATTCAGAAAAGAATAAAATTTCATAGACGCCTGATAAGCACCATATGGTGAGACCTAGAAGTCCAGTAAAAACATATACAAAAATAGATGTATACATACATCCAACATAAGGATGCAAGGCCAACAAGATGACTCAGAAGGTAAAGGTTCCTGCTG